AAAAAGTATTGGGTTCTTTATTTTCTCTTCCACCGGAAGCAAGCATGTGGTGTTGGGTAAATGGCCTCCGTTGTTCAGGCTACCATAAAGAGGCTTTCTTGTGCTTGCCTGCCCCTTCTCTTGCTCTCTGTTTCCCTATCTCTCTCGCTCTCCTACCCTCAAACCAGACTGCGCTGCAGCCATGCCATTGGGCAGCGAGCTGTAAACAGGAGCTGTACACTGATCCAAGTGGCAATCACCTCCGTTCAGACCCACGCCCCCTTCCCTTCACCCAAGTTTTTTTTTTAAGTCTTGTTGGAGTGCTGAAATGTTCACCAAGAAAAAGAGAATGAAAAATCTTGTGGGAATGGTTCCCTGCGCGGAGGATGGTCCACTGGGTATGTCCTTTGCTCATCATGAACTCAATACACAGGCCCTTTATGTGGCTGTGTGGAGGGTGGCCCCCTTCCCTCCTCTGCTTCGCATCCACACCCAAGAGGCTCCCATTCAGCCCAGGCCTGGCTGGGGGGAAGTTGGAGCTCTTTTGTAGTGGGGGATTCTTAGGGGAGGCTGTCAAGGCTGCAACTGTGTGGGCTTTTATTTCCCCAGAGAAGAGAAGGGGGGAGAAACGATGGGAGAGAGAGGGCAAGAGGGAGATGGGAGGGAGAACCAAAGGAGAGTTTAGACACAGACGGCCTTGTTAACGGGCACCCCCAAAGAGCGAGAGGATGAGAGGAAGAAAGAAACAGGGAGAAGGCAACGCAGAAGCAAGAATGAATCCAGCAAAAATCCAAAAAAACTTTCCCTCAGTTACGTCACCGCTGTTATTCCCTCTTTTCCTCTGCTTTTCCCTATCCGTTCCCTCCATCTGTCCCTATGTAAGCGCTCTCTTCAGCTCAATAACAAGCTTTTGGCCTCCCCCTCACCCTTCCTTGCCCTCTTCTCACCCTCTGCCATTACTTTACACACATTCCATTATCCGGGAGACCAGGCTAAGAGAGATGTCTGGGGTCGGAGCGATCATTATCATCACCTCTTTCCGCTACACTGTGAGTTATAGCCCACCGTATAGGAAACAGACATTTAAATCATAATCAATAGAGCAATATCAATGCTGAGAAGCACGGCTAAAGGAAATCACTGCCGGGGCTCTGCAGGAGACGGAGGCGCTCCGTTTAGACTGAGATAGTGGCGCATGATTATTGATAAAACATGATCAAGCCAGAAAATGCATTATGTGGCATCCCGCTCTGCACAGTTTTGGGGGTTTATCTTTGGAAAAGAAATGTATCCGCTGATGCAATGATTGTGGCGTGTGTGTGAACATGTGTGGAAGTAGAAAGGTGTGCAGATCTCCAGGTCTCTGCTGCTGCTGTGTGTTGCTGCTGCTGTGTGTTGGCTAAAGCACAAACGCTGCAGAGAGGGAGCGCTGCCATGCCGTATACATTAACTGACCCTTCTGCTCATGTTAGGGTGACAAGGGCAGCTTGGTCCCTCGTAGGGGGAGCAACAATACACACATAATGTTGTGTCCCGCAAGGACGATGCAAGGTGACAGGTGCAACCTGACCTGGCTGCGACCGGACCGAGGTCTCTGCTGCCACTACAGCTGATATCAGGACTGAATCTCTTGACTCTGTGCGGCCACAAAGAGAAAGTATCACGTCTTCATACAGCAGGAGTGCACTGCATCACTGTCGAGGAAGAGCAGCTTTAAGACATGAGACAAAGACACATCACAAAACAATCAGGACAAATTACAGTTCTATCACGTGCGCACATAATCGATGGTATTAGTTCATTCAGTTTGTTTGCCATGAATATTTAACTTTCATGTCTTTCATGTTTCCAGCGTCAATTTCAGATGTTATTTGCTGGCATGACCTTTTGCAACTTATATAACCGGTATTCTCAACAGATCTTGCTAAATACATTTTGGATTTGGCATACATGACTGAAGAAGGTTAAATGAAGATCAGTTATATGATTTATTTTCTCAAGTGTAGTTTATCTTCAGGGCATTTCTTTCCATTCTTAGATTTCCCTTTTCCTTTGGAGAAACAAAAGGTTTTGCTCCACCATTTGAGCTTGATATCCTATTTTAGCAGCAAATCATATTCAACATTCGTATTCAGCCTGAAGGTGTAATGCTTGGGCTTTGCCTTAGCTATTGATACAAAAACAATGCATCCTACATTTGATGTTGAGGTTCTCACAGAACTGGCGTTATTTGTTATGTCACAGAGAAAATGAACTTAACACAAATGGATTTGAATGAACTTGACTTTCAACTCAGACCATTTACTATCTATTGATCACTTTATGTTTGTAGAATCCACTTGACTGTGACACTCATTTTGTATACTGTGTGTGCTACAGTGAATTGGTCAGATCATTTAAATGATAATTTACATATGGTTTTGAATTCAGGCAGCTAACAAAGATGGATAAAAAAGTATTATACTTTATAATTAAATGCTTATGGTAAAGTGATACCTTGTCCATAGTAATAATCTCAATTGAATGTCGGGTTGAGTAGTGCAGTCAAGCAAATAGCCAACCGGACCAAATACTTGAGAAGCACTGAGCTACATCCCAGAATCCCAAGGTCCCGTGTAGGAGTGAGCTGTGAGCAGATAGTGCTCTGCACTCACGGTTCATGTGCAGCCAGAGCCCACGCAGTGCTGATGAGACAGAGATCATCTGCTTGATCTGGAAATCTATAACCCTCTCCCTGGTGAGTAAGGATGTTCAGAAATTAAGATAACTCAAACCAGTGGCAAATGCATAGTATGTACCGTGGCATTATGTAAACAGCCAACTCCTGTACCTCATTCTAGCAAAGTAGACTGAAAGTCCCGAGGTCATGCACAAAATGAAAACAGACCAAACACCTCCGGAGTACAATCATAAAGTCAGCGGTCTGCTATAAATGTAAAAAATAGAAATAACCATGCACAAAAACAATTACATTGCTATCTTAATTGCTTTCCAAAGAAAATACTTTCTGTCACCTTTCCAATTAAAACATAACCAGTAGCTATATTAGATGTATTTTTAAATGGCGCCTGCAGCATGTCTTGTTGTCTAAGATATTGGATTCCACTAGCTCTACATTTTAATGACCAGTTTCATTTATAGATGCAGGGGAATCAACACGGCTAAACAAAACAAAAAAAATACAAAAATAATAGAGAATTGAGCAGCGCTTTATTCTCCCAGCTGGGGATCCAAATCCATTTACATTTTGTCATTTAGTAATTCCTCATATTACATTGCCAAATGGGTAACATTTGCTATATATTTTTTCAATTAGGCTAACAGTTGCACAGAATCCCTTTTACATGCCATTCTCCTGACATTCCCTAACCCATGTGACATACACTTGGTGAAGTGTGAACCCTTGCAAATGAGGGTTATTCTGGGAGAGTCACGTCTCCTCTCTCTCCACGGCACCCGGGAGAGGGTTGTAAAAGCTGTTGTCCTTTAGTTATGACGGAACACAAGGAGGAGCCGCGAGAGGGAAAGGAAAAGCTCTTCAATTGGAGTCCTCCTCTCCCTCTCTGTCTGCGTGCCTCTCTGTTCCTCTGCCTGTCTCTTTCACTCTCTCTCTCTGCGTGTGCCCTGCTGCTCTGTCATCCTCAGGGATGCGTCTGAAGGAGACCATCTGTTGATCCATTTGTCTCCTGCTTTGCTTCCTCTGCCACCGCCTCTCTCCTATCGATGATCAGGCCTGGCCTTTCCCCTCTTTGTAACTGCCAACAGGCACTCGGTGCGAGGCGGGTGTGCTGTCGGGGGTGGGGCAGGGGCCTGTGCCCTCTGTAGACTCACACAAAGAGAGACAATCAGGATTGGTGGACATGCCATCCTTTTTTGTTCATACATGAGCCCGGAGCAGTTGCTTTCTAATCAGTGTGTATCTAAAGTGAGCATCGCTGCTGCTGACCAGAGTCAAAAAACACACTTTTATTTATTTATTTCTGCATGGTTGATATCAAAACTATTCCCTTTCCCCCCCTTAGGACTTAAACACAGAGCTCATCATTATATGAAGGCATAGACCATGAAATAGATGTTAGAAACAATGCTGTGTTGCTGAAAGACCATCACTGGAGGCTGGCAAGCATTTACCACCAACACATTTATTGCATGTGAAGTGTTAAAGAGAGGAAATAGGGTCTTGGTTTCCACGCACATCTTCTAGCTGTCACCTCGCATGAATTTTCAGGGGTTTGATGGACACTGAGTCCACCGAGGGAACTTCATGGATTGCTTGCCTTTGATCTTCTCCCACGACTCTCCATTACCCATCATTCAGCTGGGTTTAGGCCCTGGAGAGCAGCTGGGAGAAGGTGGTGTGTTAACTTGAGCTCTGATGCGCCCATAAGAGACCCACTGTCCAACTCAAGGCATCATATAGCTGATAAGACAGACAAGGGAGGAAAGAGCACACGGATGCTGCCTTTTGTGAATGGTTAGATTGAAAGTATGTGTAGTTCCGAGTGGAAACACCGAAGCATATCAGAGGGAGGTGGTATCTGATAGGATACTGCAATCCATATGGAGGGTTTTGCAGCATCAAAATGATTGTAAATCTTATTATCACGTCTTTTTCTCTCCCCTCTGTGGAGTTTTCATAGATTCCTGTGGTTTCCATCAGCACTGCTCAATATATCCGATGATGGGTGCTCACCCGGGGAGACATGCCATTGATTTCCCATAAGGTGCAGATGACATGTGGTCACACATACTCCTATTTTACCAATAGCCGAATCATCCAATAAGTCATGATTTCAGCGCTGCTGTCACCCGGCGTGACGGTTCTTCTGACCAAATCGAGCAGGGGTTAGTCCCTGCAGATAACCTTTTATGCTGTAGGAGCACAGGGAGGGTGAATATCTGTGGCATATTTAATATGAAAGTTGCAGACTACCTTTTTTCATTGTTATTTAGTTTGAAGGCAAATCACTGTATGCATTGAGGTGACTTTTTTAATGATGTAATATCTGTATGTGTTACAGGCTTCCTCAGTACTGGTGACCAGGCTGCTAAAGGGAACTACGGGCTCCTGGACCAGATCCAGGCGTTGAGGTGGATCAGCGAGAACATCGGCTTCTTCGGAGGAGACTCCAACCGCATCACTGTGTTCGGTTCTGGGATCGGAGCTTCCTGCGTCAGCCTGCTCACCCTCTCCCACCACTCTGAAGGTAAAGTACGGCAGAGATGTAGGAGGAATTGGGGGGTGGGGATACAACAGCTCATGCCTGCTAGTGTGTAGGCTGCTTAATATTAGAAACTGGCGATGCAGCTCGAGAGTTATTGAGTAATGTGTTCTACTGTACTGCACAGCATGACGAAAGAAGCAGATGTTTGCATTTAAATGATTGTGATATTCATTACCATCCGGAAATTGAAACTTCTCGGCAGATTTCAGACCACATGTGGGTCTTGATGTACTCTACCTCGTCTGCTCTCTCTCTCTATCTATGTCAGGAATGAACATGTACAGTGGGGCAAAAAAGTATTTAGTCAGCCACCAATTGTGCAAGTTCTCCCACTTAAAAAGATGAGAGAGGCCTGTCATTTTCATCCTAGGTATACCTCAATGAGAGACAAAATGAGAAAAAAAAATCCAGAAAATCTCATTGTCTGATTTTTAAAGAATCTATTTGCAAATTATGGTGGAAAATAAGTATTTGGTCAANTAGTCTGAAAATGAGCTGATCAGATTTGGGTCCACTTGATGTCATAACGATGTGTTGTCTTGTGTAACCATTAGCCAATCAGCAACCATGGTAACCCCGCCCCCCCTTATCACCTGAATCTCCTCGTAGAGCACCATTGAGTTCTTTGTAACCAAATCTCTCTCAGAGGGGGGTGGGGAGGGGCTATATGTAACTATATAAATATATAATATATATAAAAGAATGTAGTATATCACATTATTGCCTCTGAATTGGATTATTATCGGATAGGATAAGAACTTATTAATTAACTACATCTGAAAGCAGATGTCCAGGGCAAATAATTGCAAGTCTCTTTCAGTGCGCATGTCACAAAACGAGATGCATTGTGGGACATGTAGTTTATGGACAACCTGCTTTTGTAAAGTGGCATTTACCCGTATAATTATTATTATATTCTTTGCAAGCTCTTGCGGGGTCACATAAAATGAAGTCACGGGCCTTGAGTTTGAGATCCCTGATCTTAAGTAACAGACAGAGAATCAGCACTTTGGAAACAGGGCTGAAACAGAAGGGATTATGGGTAATGCTGCAATGATCTGTTTGGTGTTTCAGCCAATCAGAGACAGGCTCTGGATATATCTGAGACCTGTGATATATTGATGAGAAACAGTATAATAGGAGACCTTTAACACCGGTTCAGGTCACGGGGGCTCTTACAGTGCGTTCATTTGGATCGAGTGTTGGTCTGTGTTGTGACGGAGAACAATGCCGCTCCTCGTCTCTATTTCCTCGTCTCTATTTGCCCCCGTACATCCTCTCGATGTCGTCCTGGTAGTGTGTTTTCAGCTCTTTGCGTTTGAGCTTGAATGCGTCAGTCACTAATCCCGTCTCAGGAGTCCAGGGCTCCGGGCTCAGGCAGATCTTTCGAGGGATCTCAAAGCGCTCGAGCTGGGCTGCAACAGAAAAAGACGAAACATTCATTTGTAAATAAACCCTGACGTTAGTGCTTCCCACAGAATTGAGGTTTGGCTTTCCCACGTGTTTTTTCTTTTCTAGGTACTCAGTTTTTTCCTCTCTGGCAAAGACTGACTTCTCTTTTTGACGAGTCCTTTGAGTCAATATTCCTCATCTAGATAGCCCTCACCCTAGGGAACCAAACATAGAGCGTCACAGCTAAAGAATGAACATTATCCACTTAGCCCGAGCAGTCATTATTCGGACTGTAACTACAATTACAATTTCATTAACGAATGATCTGCTGCTTATTTTGTTTGATACGTAAAATGTCAGAAAATATGCAGTTTCTTAAAGTCCCAGTTCTTTGTCAGTTCAAACCAAACAGATATCAACCAGAGAAAGGCAGAACATTCACACATTCAAGAGGCTGAACGAGAAATGTTTGTATGCAAATCACTTTAAGGACTTATCAATTATAGAAAACAGTTGCCAACCAATTGTTTATTTTCTGTCAATCGAGTGACTAGCAGCTAACCTAACCTGTTGAATTTTAAAGTTAAATTATAGCCATCATTACTAGCTGGTCTCTTTACATGCTTGTAGGGCTGTAACCGAATATTCGACTATTCGAATATTCGTTCGTTGGCCAACTATTCGGATATTCGTTTTTTAATTTTTTTTCCAAAAATAAATAAATATATTTTTAAAAATATTATTTTTTCTTCTAAATGTATGCTATTAATAAAGGCGAATTGCGATATTCTTATACTATATTTATACTTTTGAATTGCACTGTTAAAATGCGGAAATATATACAATCTCAGCCTGTGCTCCTGACATCGCGTTCACTCACAGTCGCAAACGCAAACGGCACCCTTCACCTCGCTTCACCCACAAAATGCCGAAGACTTCAGCTGTGTGGGACCATTTTAAATTGGACGACGGTAAGAAGAATAGTGTGCCAAATATGCGATAAGAAACTGGCCTACCACGGTGGCACAACAACTCTGAAAAGTCACCTGGATGCTGTAAGTAGTAGCCTAGCTTAGCTTAGCTGTTGTCAAGTTGCCATGATGAAGCTGCTTTATCCGCCGTTTAAACAGTAACGTTACACATGATAAAAACGTGAACTTACTTTGCTTGGAAAATAGTTGCAAGCAAGCAACCAAATTGTTTTTTTATATTAGTTTTTTTATTTTATCCGAATAGTGAAAATAATAGGAGTAATGTGGGAACATCTGAGGCTAAGGCAATGGCATAG